GAAAGAACAATGATGAATCTGTGAAGCATCTCATAACATGGATCAAACTGGAGGACATTATGCTGAGTGAAATAAGTCAATCACAAAAGAACAAATATTGTATGAGACCTCTACTATAAAAACTAAAGAAAAAGTTTACACACAAAAAGAAACAATCTTTGTTGGTTGGATGGGAGGGGTGGGGGAGTGGAATACCAAATAGACAATAGATAACTTTGGTGAAGGGTAAGACAGTACATAATGCTGGGGAAGCCAGCACAACTTGTACAAGGAAAGGTTATGGAAGCTCCATAGACGCATCCAAATTCCCTGAGGGACTGAATTGCTGGGCGGAGGGCTGTGGGGACCATGGTCTCAGGGACCATCTAGCTCAACTGGTGTAATACAGTTAATAAAGAAAATGTTCTACATTCTACTTGGTGAGTAGTGTCTAGGCTCTTCAAAGCCTGTGAGCAGCCATCTAAGATACTCCAGTGGTCTCACCCCTTCAGCGGCAAGGGAGAATGAAGAAAACAAGATACAAGGAAAAGATTAGTCCAAAGGATTAATGGACCACAACTACCATGGCCTCCACCAGACTGAGTCCAGTACAACTAGATGGTGCCCAGCTACCACCACTGACTGCTCTGATAGGGATCACAACAGAGGGTCACAGACAGAGCTGGAGAAAAATGTAGAACAAAATCCTAACTCACAAAAAAAGACCAGAGACAGAGACTGGAGAAACCCCGAAAGTATGGTCCCCAGACACCCTTTTAGCTCAGTAATGAAGTCACTCCTGAGGTTCACCGTTCAGCAAAGATTAGACAGCCCCATAAAACAAAACGAGACTAATGGCACAACAGTCCAGGGACAAGGACTAGAAGGCTGGTAATAGGGAACCCAGGGTTGAGAAGGGACAGCGTTGACAAGTTGTGGTGTTGTTAACCATTGTCATAGAACAATATGTGTACTGTTTAATGAGAAACTACTGTTCTGTAAACTTTCATCTAAAGCACAATTTTAAAAAAAGACAGCATAAAAGAAAATTTTAAGTACTTGTATCTTCATCAAGCCAGCTAATAAATCTACTAACTATAGGAATTTATGAACAACTTTTATTATTAGTCTTATAACTGAATATACATTTTTCAACACCTTGACCTCCATCCAGTGTCTTGAGCTTCTCAATTCCTTCTCTCTCCAGTGGCTTTTCATCTCTCTCATCTGAGCCGCTCACTTTTGTCCTCAGTGACTCATTTAACCTTGTCATCACTGATAGCTGCATCTCCTGCAAAATCTCATTTTCAAGCATCCAGCCCTTAACCATCACTGTCTGTCCTGCTTAGCTTCTCTGATGCCTACAATGTAGCAATTTTTCACTCTTGAAGAACCCTCAGTTTTACCATCCATTACCCATCTCAGGTCCTTACTTCCTTCTTTACCCAATTTTGATTCCATAATCCATCACTCTGATCCCTTGCAAAACACTCCTACTCTGTAGTATTTGCCAAGCGAAGTTCAAACTCAGTTAAACCCAACAGTGCAACTGGACTGGATTGCATAAAAACACATAACATTGCTAA